AAGGGCGAAAGCCTTCTTCCCTTAATAAAGTGACTTAAAGTGACTTAAAAAGTGACTTAGAATGTATCATTCGGAACAAATGTTAGGAAAGGGCAACGTTCGAATTGTCTGGACCTTGTCTTCAGCCGAAATGAAGATATAGGGCTGGAGCTTCAATGGGTGCTAGTGATCAAATTCTACTAATTTTTGAGTCTTCCATGTTTCCATAGTCTGACTCACGTAAACAACTGAAAAAAAAACACTCGTAAGGTAGATGACACATGAACGCAAAGTTCGGCAATACCATACACAAACACATTACGGAGAGCCGTAAACAAATACTGGAAGAATTATTAAAAACAAGAAATCAAGCAACTATCCGCTGTGGATAAACCGCGAACTTCAGATCTCCTGTTTACTAAGAACTAGTATGGCGAAACGTTTTCGAATGGCGGAAAGTGTTGAACGCTTGCAGAAGTATAAACAAAAATGAGATTTCTGTGAGAGGGAGGCAAATCGATTTCGTAGGAACCATGAGCTTACAATACTGCAGAACTCGTTGGAGCGTCTTATACGAATACCTACGCAACAACCAAAAAGCAGTGACCCGATTCCATCGTTGCATTCTCAAAACTGGAGACCGATGATCAAAGGAAAGCATCAGTCCCCTCGTGGTTATCGCAGTCGGTACTCACCCCCTAAAACAAATTCCCCTTCATCCCCCCACCCAGCCTGACGAACGTTTGCACGAGAAGATGCCTTGAATTCTCGCCTATGGAGATAATTACACCGCCTGAAACCTCAGTCAGTCAGTCAATATAGTTGAGGGAAAAATAGGCTTGTCCCTTTGAACTCCCTATTTGTCACATCAAAATCTCAAGAGTTTTAAACAATGTTGACAAGTTTTCAGGAAAACATAGATCGTCACATGGTGCAGTGGTGTTTCTAGGCTAAAAGATATAAGGAAATAGCGTTAGCTAGATGACAGACAAGACCATAGCATTTTCGTACGCCTGTCAAGTCCCACGGTTCAGAAAGGCTTAATCGATATTCTCTTAGAAAATTAGCCGATGTACTGTGTGAGCCGGTGTTGATTATTCCGATACTAAGTGCAACATGGACACTTCGGCCAAGTGAAGGCACATAGATGACCTCATCCGTGCTGCCTGATGTTTTCATAAGAACCAAGTCGAGCAGGTGTGAGCATAACATTTAGCATTTTTAATAGTCCAATGTTTCATATTAAATAGTCGGCAGTTGATTTTGGACATGAAGAGTGAACAGCGCTACAGTCGATTCCTGGTGAACTGAAGACTCCAATAATCATGACATTACGTCGACTGAATAATTATTCCATTTGTTACATATTACCAATGGAAGAGCTCGTAAAAAGATTCTAGATACATTTACAAGATGGACTCAAACTTAATTACAACATAGATAGCCAGTCTAGGAAGAGTGTCTGGTAAATTAAGAGAAATGTAGTTAAAAATGTACGATGATTTGACTAGATTGAAATTAGGGCGGAAAGGACAAAATACACCCTTAAACCCAGTATACCCTCTACGTCTCCCGCTCATTGCGGCTTTGCCGTTCCTGAAGGATGGGAATTGACAGAACAAAATTAAATTACTACTATAAGCTAGCTAACGAGACCATTCTTTCTTTGCAGGTTGTTTTGTTTTTTAATTAAATGTCGCGGTAGAATACAGTAACCGGCCTAGTACCAGCATCTCCTGAGAACCCTCACGCTTGGATCCGAGACAATGTTTACATTTCCTTATCGATTTGGGGTCTTTCGATGGCTTATCGGAAAGTTCCATCAATCGATGAAGACAGGTCACGGGCCTATGAACTTGAGAAGGTAAAAAAAGTTTTTTTATTTACGGCCAGTGTGTGGTTAATCTGATGCGAGGCATTTTGCGGTGTTACATGTATCAGGCCGACAAAGTTGAGGCATTTAAGAAAACACAAGACCCAAAAGTGGCACTTCATGCAAAGTTTGATTCTCGAACATGTAAACCTGTCGTTGGCGACTTCGAGTGGGGCCACTTGCAGATTGATGCAGTTTCCCTATACCTTCTTGCGCTGGCTCAAATGACTGCTGCAGGCAAGCATATTTTTCGTTAAAAATGTTCCATTTTTTTAGGATTACGCATTATTTGGACCGTTTCTGAAGTCGCATTCATCCAGAACCTCGTATTCTATATTGAACCTGCTTCTCGAATTCCCGTAAGCATCGGCTAGTTTCATGACTTTCTAGGATTACGGCATTTGGGAACGTGGAGATAAAACAAATCATGGTCGAACTGAGCTTAACACTAGCTCCGTAGGCTTGGCTAAGGTGAGCGAACTGTGCCGCAAAATGGTTAATCCCATGGACCGCTTAGTGGTCTCAGGAAATTGGCTTATAGTATTCTGGAGTTCTGCGGCTGTAGTCTAGAATAAGTTTATCACGTTAACGATTTATCAGCTGATGTATTTGCCACGCAGTTTAATCTTAATTTGCAAATCATTTTGTTTTAGGCGGCGTTAGAGTCTCTGAACGGACTGGACCTTTTCGGTCCTCAAGGAGGAAGCAACTCTACTATTCATGTCCTTCTTGATGAAAGTCAGCAGTGCAACACCGTATTAGAAAATATGTTGCCCCGTGAATCTCACTCTAAAGAAACGGATGCAGCGCTCTTGGGAATTATTAGTTATCCGGCTTTTGCCGTGAATGATAAACAAATAATTGAGAAGACGCGCTCAACGGTCCTATCCAAGTTGCTTGGAAGGTAAGTTATGTGGAAACAAGCTTTTCGATCAGTTTGCAAACCTGGTTGTCATTTTAATCACTTATTTCGTCCAATTTCACTATATCTTCCCAGTGATCTTTGCGTTTTTAAATATTCGATCTTTTATGGTGTAAAGGAAGGATTCTCAAACCCATTTACATTATCGTCGTCGAGCTTCCATATAAAGTTCGCTCTCGTACCACTACAATTTCTTATATTACCGTTTTATAGCAATCTGAAACGATCCATTAGGGAAGAATAGGTTAAAGCAGAGGGAAAAGTCAGTGAGATAGGGAGGAAAATGCAGGACGACGTGTGGGGTAAAGAAAAGCAGAAATAGGGTATTAGTAAATAAACTGTGTTCTACTGATCTGTTTTTGTGACAGACCACCAATTGGTCAGCTTTACCTTTTAAAATTTGTGACCAGATTTCGGAAATAAAGTACAAGTACTCCTCCCGGTTTTTCCTTCCCCTGTTAACTTAACACTTATCAGACTTTTTGCTCCATTTCCTAGTTATGGCTGCATTCGGTTTATGCGAGACGGTTATCGGACTGCACTCGAGGACCCACGTCGTCTACACTACGAGCCTTGGGAGCTGCGAATGTTCGAGGGCATCGAGTGCGAATGGCCTCTGTTCTTCACCTACCTAATATTGGGAGCGTGCTTTGATGGTGACAGAGAGTCTGCACAAAGATATCTAGATCAACTAGAGCAAGTCGTTCTTCGCCGCGTATGCAACATTTATTTTCCTCCTATTCATTCCATTGTGCTACCAGTACTGAAGCATTAGCCGGTCTGTACTTCATATGTTTACTGTAAAAATATGCTGCCGCATTTTTGAAGAAAGATCTTTCTGATATCTAGAGGCTCACATATTTTTCCTGTGTACGTGCAATAGGGCTGTTTTCACCCGTAACCATTAAGTTCTGTGGTACATTTTTGCACCTCTGGTTAATGGGGTGCCCGTTGATTGAAACCCTGTTTCAGTGTTTCCTTATTGACGTAAAGTACTATTCAACCGTTTTCGACTCTAAACTAATTTTGCAGTTTAACTTTTTTGAAGTTTTAAGCAACGTTCCTGTTATATTTGATTAGTTCAGGGCCGATACTTGACCATTTCGCTCATACGTCTAAAATCAGGTCTCTTGCGCACGTAACTATAGCTTTTTTTCAAATTAAAATATGTATATATTACCTTTAAATAGAAAATGTGTCATGATCATCGTAGTGACGATGCGATTCCTCAACCAAGCCTATTCACCAAACCAGCAGATGACTCCGATGAGGTTCTCTTCCCTATCATGCCCGAGCTGTACTCCCTACCCGGTGACAGAGTTGATGCTGAGTTGAAAAATCCAAATTCCCAAGTTCGTGTACCCATTGGATCCGCTCCGCATCTGTGGGGTCAATCTCTGTATATTCTTTCGCGCATAATTATGGATGGACTTCTTCTGCCTGGAGAGATAGATCCCCTGGGAAGGCGTATGGTGAGTTCCGCACCTATAATCTAAAATATCTTGCCGTCTTTCAACGGCACTTTGTATAAATTATGTCTGAGTCCGCTAGGTCATCCCCATCACTACTATTGCAATAAGTTATGACGGAATTCAGGTCGTGGTTACTTGCTTTCATTGAATTAATCTGAAAGTTTAAGAGTTCCTCCAATGCATTCACTCGCTAGGATGTAAAATATAAGGTTTCATGTTTTCAATTAAATTGATTTTGTCTAACGGCATTTGTTGATCCTGCACTTCTCAAAGCACTGTTGTCGACAACGGGGAATTTTGAGTATCAAAAATCAAGGAGAAACAGTCGGCCCGATGATTTATATCTCTGATAGAAAATATTCAAGCAGCTCAGCATTCAGAAGTAACAACTCTTCTGTCAAGCCGACAGTTAGCCTTTGTCCTTGTTTTTGCCAGTGCGAGGTGTGAGCAAGTGTTTGAGCCGTGTTCGGCTGTAGTCGAGGGCTCAGTCGCACGCGATGCAAACATTCAGGGAAGGTTCGGTCGCTCTCGGTACGCCAAGTAACGTCCAGAGGCCTGGCACTATCCTCGTAATAAACACTTAATTTCATTAACCACTGCCCTTGACTATCTGTTTTACAGGGTGCGGAACCGAAGCCTGACCTCGTTGTTCAAGTGGTCGTACTGGCTGAAGACGAGAGCGTCAAGGATCGCCTTGCTGAATATCAAGTCGACGCACAAACCTTCACAGAGGCCTCACATGACTCGGGAATCCGTATCTATCCAGCCAAGGTCCTCAGTCAAATCTACAAGGACTTAGGTGCGGTATACCGCTTTTTTCAATGCTTATGTACCTTCCAATTTTCATTATAACTAGCCTTATGATAACCGCTAGTCTTGGACGATGACACGTTCTGCAATTTAATGCCCACATTGATGGTTTATATTTAATGTTCTTGGTGAAGTGTCTTCTAACCACAGCTTCTATGCTCCTCTGTGTATTAACGCAACCGAACAGCGCTCAAGCAACCAGGCCAGAATTTAGTCGAAATCTCTCTTGTGTTCTCAAATGCGAGTTACAGGTATTAACGGAGATACAGACAGCTGTAACACTGAAACTTCAGCTTTGTTTGATTGAGTTTTCGGATCCACACCCAGTGATGAATCACAATGCTGTCAAGGTATGAAAACTGGTATCTGACTTTCGCATAAACCACCGTCTTATTCCGCTACGGCATAACTAAATGGCCTTAAATAAGGTTTCTTACTATTAGCCTTCAGCAAGCCAAATCTCTAGCGAGCATACCATTGAAAAGATACTAGAGACAGCCGTTTGGGGCACGTTCGTATCGGAAACTCGACGCATCCCGTGAAATCCGGCGTCGGCCGTCCCAAACGTTCTCAGAACCATATGATATGCAAAAATAATTCTCGATATCGATGCTAAACTCTCAATACTTAATCCCCCAGATTTAGCCGGTCAAGTAGCTTCACTACCTGTAGCGAACATCAGCCACGAATGTCCGTTCTGGTTTCATTACCCTCGCTAACTGGTTATGCCTATTTTGGCCTGGTATAGAGTTTGAGCCTGGTTGCTGTCGAATGTAAGACACCCTTTTCTTCTATAACATACCCCTATAGTGGAGAATTGCACATCGCAGCCTTCTTATCCAGCGAACACCTCCATTTTAAGTAGACAAAAGTGCTCTGTAAGAGAAAAAGCTGTTACAATAGTCTTAATACGTAAATTAATTAGAGCTATTGTTTACTATAAACGTATGGAAACGGTAAAATTGAGAATTAAAGCCGAATTCCCATCTAATAAGTTCTATACCTTATCTCACTCACTCACTCACTCACTCGGGTGTCTTCAACGCCCGACTATTGCAATTGAATTTAGTTTGTGACCCGCTTGTGTCGTTGGTTAG